GGGGCAGGGAAGCATCAGCAGCAGGGGCAGGGATATGTGTAAGATGGAGATGGGGTCCAGTCAGGGTCAGGGACAGCATAGGGGTACGGACTGGACCGAGCAGAAATAGGCAGGGACAGGAATACAGACAGGGGCAGGGACAAGAACAGAAGCAGAGATAATGGTGGCAGCAGCAACATGGCCAGGGCAGGGATATGAGCAGGAGCAGGGACAGGTATCCCCTTAGTGATGGGTGACAACAGGGCAGGAATACAGGCAGAGAAAGGGATATCAGGAGGGATATAGGCAGGGAGAGGACCAGCAGTGGGGACAGGGGTACGGGCAGGGGCAGGGCTGTGGACAGGGACAGGTGTCAGGAGCATTTCACACCTGGTCCATGAGGCCCAAGCACCAAGACCAAGACACCAAGATGATCATGACAAGAGACATTCTTTATTCATACCCAAAGGGTGTCCCAGCCAAATTGGGGCACTCCAAACGTGGTTCACACATGGCTCTCGCACCCTTTGAGTGCTGAGGCACAGCAAGGTTCCACCAGTCCCTACTCTCCCCATGGCTTTGCAAAGCCAGTGCAATCCTATGACTTTGGCATCCTTTCTTCCTTGTTCTGGAGACAGTCTCACTATTTTAAGGGGTGAGGCCAGACAATGGGAGGGTCCAGGGTGCTGGTCTTATCTGAGAAGTCAAAGAGTAGCCTTCATCTTTTGTGGTGGGGCTGTCCTCCTCCTCCTCCTCCTCCAGAGCTGGGGCCCTGCTGCCATTCCTACCCAACCATAGCTATGCAGTGAACAAGGGAACTGTCGGTGTACAGATCTTATTAAAGGTCATAACATTTCATAGGAGAAAGACTAAGTGGCAGGGCAGGGATATGGGCAGAGATACAGGCAGGAGCAGGGACAGGTGTCCCCTTAATTGTGGGTGACAACGGGGCAAGAATACAGGCAGGGAAAGGGATATCAGGAGGGATGTAGGCAGGGAGAGGACCAGCAGAGGGGAGAGGGGTACAGGCAGGGGCAGGGCTGTAGGCAGGGACAGGTGTCAGGAGCATTTCACACCCAGCCCAAGGGATATAGGCAGGGATAATGAGGAGCCAGGGGTGAAGACTGTCAGGACAGAGGGGGAGGGACACGGGCAGGGAGAAAAGCAGAGCCAGGGACAGGGATACCGGCAGGGCAGGGATACGGGCAGGGCCAGTGACACAAGCACGGACAGGGATTCGAGCAGGGCGGGCAGGAAAGGAGTACGGGCAGAGACAGGACAGGGATACCGGCAGGCACAGGACAGGGATACGGGCAGGTCCCACGGCGCATGCACAGATGGCGGCGGGCGCTCCCAGGGGGCCGCGCGGGGGGCGGGCCCAGGGGCGGGGCCTCTCGTCGGGGGAGGGGCGTGTGGTCCGCGCGCGCCGGCCATGCCGCGCTCCCGCCGCGCTGCGCGCCGTGAGTGGGGGGAGCCGGGAGGGGGGGCCGGGGACACGTGTGACAGGTGTGACCTTTGTGACACGGGTGACACGGCCGGTCTGACACGTGTCTGTCCCGCACCCCCGCAGGCGGCCCCGGCAGCGCCCGGGCGGGCTCGCCCGGCAGCGAGGAGGAGGCCGGCAGCGAGGTGCTGAGCCACTGCAGCAGCGCCAGCGAGGGCGCCAGCCCCACCGAGGAGGCACCAGGTGAGCCCCGCGGACCCCACTGGTGTCCCCACGTGCGTAGTGGTGTCCCCCACCCGCGGGCTCCCCGCCTTCACGTGGTGCCGCCCGGGCAGGGAGCGAGGCGGCGAGTGAGCAAGGCCAGGAGGAGGAGGCAGAGGACCGGCTGAAGGAGCACATGGACAACCTCCTGGACAAGAGGTGAGGAGCAGCTGCCGCCCGCCGTGGGCCCTCCTGGCGCGCTGCCCGTCCCTGCCACCGCTGCCAGCCGGGGGCAGGGACGTGCCATGTCCCGGGACACCCCGGACTGTGACGTCCCGCGGTCTCTCGCAGCGCCAAGACGCGGCAGGCGGCACTGCAGAGCCTGCGCCTGGCCTTGTCCTCCAAAACCCTGTCCGAGTTCCTGCTGGAGCGCCGCCTCACGCTCACAGACTCGCTGGAGAAGTGTCTCAAGAAAGGTCAGGGCGCGGGCGGGCTGCGGGCGGCGGGGCTGGTGACCCGGGTCTGAGGGAGGTCTCTCGTGCTGCCCACAGGTAAAGGGGAGGAACAGGCGCTGGCGGGCACCGTCCTCACCCTCCTCTGCCTCCAGATGGGCTCCGGCCCGGAGGGAGAAGAGATGTTCCGCAGCCTGAAGCCCCTGCTCGTCAGCGTCCTGACAGACAGCACGGCCAGCCCCAGCGCCCGGCAGAGCGTAAGGCCCGGCCTCTTCCTCCTGGGGACACCTCGGTGCTGGGGAGAGCCTTTGGGGCCCCTGCAGTTGCAGGAGGGTGATGGGATTGGGTGCTGTACAGACCAGGGGGGCAAAGCAGAGGCACCCCTGCCTGGCTTCTCTTTGGTTGGGTGCTGGATCTGTCCTGGCACTGCCTTCTCTGACTGCCGTTTCCTCACTCCTCTTGCCAGTGTGCCACAGCCCTGGGCATGTGCTGCTACATTGCTGCTGCTGACCTCGAGGTAACTGCGCCTGAGTGTCGCCCGTACCCCTGCAGGAGGGCACCCGGGGCTGCCATGCCACCTGCCCTCAGCCCACGGTGCCAGGGCGGCCTGGAGCTGAGCTGGGGTAGGGGTACAGGGACATCAGTGACAGCCCAGGCCCCTTCCCTGGGCAGTGTGGAGCTGAGCTGGGGGGAGGCCTGCCTTGCAGAGATGGGGTGTTCTGAGTCTCTCCTGCCCCAGGGAGTTCCTGGCACCCCTGGGGGCATGGTTGGTCCCCTTCAGTCCCCAGTGCACAGCTCACTATGGCATCTTCATGTCAGCTGTGGTCTGACTGGTGAGTTTCTCCCTTCCAGGACCTGGTTTCATGCCTGTCCTGCTTGGAGGGCGTCTTCAGCCCCCCCAGCACAGGTGAGGCAGGCTCAGCACCTGCCCAGCACGGGCCTCTGCACTGCAGCGCGCTCCAGTCATGGTCCCTGCTCCTGACCATCTGCCCCCCCTCCCACCTCAGGAGCATTTTGGACAAGTGAGTGGGGTATGGGGTGAGTCGAGGCTGGTGTAGTACAGCCAGCTGTGGAGTAAAGAGTCCCTGACTGCCCTCCTGCCTCTCTGTCCCAGTCGCTGGCTGCAGCTGCCCCCACTGCTGTCCAGCAGCAGCGTCACCCTGCGCATCCTGGCCGGGGAAACCATCGCGCTGGTGTTTGAGCTGGCCCAGGACCTGGAGGTACAACAGTGGGTGGGCAGTAGCCAGGTGGGAGGGAGCTGCAGGCAGCAACACCCTGCCTGTGCCCTGGCTGAGCTGGCACTGACTGGAGTCACCAGCACGTGTCCAGGCAGAGGGGCTGGCCTGGGTGATCCCCCTGCCCTGTCATGGCCATGGTGGCAGTGCCTGGAGCCACATCCCTCCAAATCCCCTGCTTTTTGGCAGGAGGACTTGTGTCACCAAGATACAGAGTTCTTGTGTGCCCAGCTCAAGGTCCTGGCTACTGAGAGCAACAAGTACCGAGCCAAGACGGACCGACGGAAGCAGCGATCCATCTTCCGGGACATCCTGCGTTTCATTGAGGTGCTGGAGGCTGGTGGTGCCCTTCCCTGCCAAGCCCCTCACTGTATGGCTGCTGCCCAGCTGCCTAGTGATTCCCCTCCATGGGGACATGTAGGGCTGGTGCCTGGGTTATTGCTGATGCCCCTCTCTCTGCTCAGAGTGGGGAGTACCAGGAGGAGACCATCCGATTTGGCCTGGAGTGCATGTACCTGGACAGCTGGGCACGCCAGCGGACCTACCAGGCCTTTAAAGAGGTGCTGGGCTCTGGCATCCGCCACCACCTCCAGGTAGGGGCTGGGCAGACGCACCAGGGAGTGCTGGGCTGGTGCTGGTGGGTGCTGACAGGCCCCTGCCTCTGCAGAACAACGAGCTGCTACGGGAGATCTTCGGCCTCGGACCCCCCTTGGTGCTGGATGCGGCTGCTCTGAAAGCCAGCAAGGTCTCCCGCTTTGAGAAGGTGGGTTCCACCTCCCAAATTTATGCCCACAGTCCCCTCCGGTGCCACTGATTGAGTGTGGTGGGCGCTGATGGAGCATCCCTAACGCATCTCTTCTTCCCTCTCCTTCCAGCACCTCTACAACTCGGCCACCTTCAAAGCCCGCACGAAAGCCCGGAGCCGTGTGCGGGACAAGCGGGCGGATGTGCTGTGATGGGCAGAGGGGGGCAGAGCCCCCAGCCCACCTGGACTGCAGACCCAGCACTGTGAGGGGCAGGTGCCCCTGGCCTTTGGGCTTTTATTCATGTACAGCAGAGTATTTAATGCCTGGAGCTGCCCCACCGGGGGCTGCCCCCTCTTTTATTTTTTTAACCAAAGAAAGGAAGGATAAAAGAAGAGCAGGGGGAGGTGGTGGCGTGTCTGCTGTGTGCCTGCTCTGCAGCTGAGGCTCTGTGTGGCACAGTGGGAAGGGCTTTCACCAGAGCTCCTGCAGCCCCTTTTAGAGGCAGAGCTCACGTCCCCCCCTCCCCAGTCCCGTGGGGACACCAGGGCGGCCTGGCACAGCCTGAGGGGTGATTAAGAGGGCAGAGCCATGCGAGGCTGTGGGGCAGCTGGCCTGGTGTCTGTGCCTGTGGCAGGAGCACTCGCTTTCACTTGCCACGCTGGGTGCAGCCCCTGCCTCCACAGCCTGCCTGTCACCAGGGGTGGTGGCAGAGCAGTGTAGGGTGGCAGGTCTTGCCCAGCCCTGCCAGCTGCTCACTCTCTCAGCCCTTTTTTTCAGCCAAATGCTTTATATGAAATAGTAATCTTGGGGGAAATTAATTACGGGGGGGCAACTGCCCAGGCGGGCATGGGGCTGTGCCAGCTGGCAGTGCCTGCCACTCCGGGAATGTATCTATCGTGGTGATTTTCTAAGACTTTGATTGTAAGAGGTAATTAAAAGGCTAATTGGAGGGTGCCTTCTGCCTTGTTAAGAGGAAGGGCTGTCACAGAGGCGGGTGCCGATCCTTACAGCCCTGTCCCGTTCTCTCGCAGCCTGGGGCAGGGGCCGGGATTGCCCCTGTGCCCCGAGAGACGATGCTGCCAGGTCTGAGCGGGTAAGGCTGCCCATTGCCCCCTCCTGCCCTTCGCTGCCCCTTCCTGTGGTGGCCTGGAGCCCGTGGTGGGGCTGGGAGCAGCTCAGCGGTGCCCGCCGGGCTGGGTGCTGGCGTTGAGGCGAGCCCAGAGTTGCCTGCTGGCTGCCCGCAGCTGGTGCACGGCATCCTCCTGGCTCTCCAGCCACTGGGCCAGCGCCCGCACGGACTGGCTCTGCAGGACTGCGGGGAGAGGATGGGGACATGTTGGGGGCAGGCTCCCCTGCAGCACCCCAGCCCCCCGCCCTGCCCAGTGTCACATACCACTCAGGTAGATGGCCAGCGTGGCCAGGACCAGGCTCGCCAGTGCCAGGAGCACCAGCAGAGCCAGCAGCAAGGGGTGGCCAGGGCCAAGGCAGGGGCAGGGGCTGGCGGGGGGCACGGGGCGCAGGGTGGGCAGTAGTGCTGGGGGCACGGGGGACACGGGCCGAGGTGGAGGCCGGCGCAGGCTGCTGGAGGGAGCCGGGCCGTTGCCTGCAGGCACGGGAGAGAAGAGGTCAGAACCCAGTCACAAGCACAGCCAGGGCTGGCACGACCACCCCCCCAGTGTTCTCACCCTCTGTGCCCTTCTGCCCGCCCGAGGCCAAGTGCAGGTCGCTGATGGACTCCACGGGGCACAGGCTGATGGCTCCCGGCTCACTGCTGTCGGGGTCCCCGGGCTCTGCTGGCACAGCACCCTCAGCCCTTCCCATGCTGTCTGCTAGAGCAGAGGCAAAGGGTCAGCGTGTACCCTGCCCACAACCCTTGCCTGCCCCAGGCACCCCTGTGGGACCAGACCCCTCCCGGGGGGTGATCCCAACTTTGGCAGCCCAGTGCTGTGCTGGGGCAGGCAGCCAAGGCCGGTGTTCCCTTGGCACAGCCCTGTAGGAGCGGCAGGCAAGCGCTGGCTGTGCCCCCCAGCCCTGACGCTGTCATCGGAGCACTTAGCAGGCAGGCACCTGGTGGCCACGATTCCAGAGCCTCCCGGAGCCTCGTTAGTGGGACTGGAATCTGGCCCTGGCTTGGGGGCAGGAATGTGCCACCCCCTGGCCCCGATAGCCCGGGCACTTTGGGGCTGGCTGGGGCTCCCAGGGCCAGCTGGGAGGTGGTGGGCAGGGCCAGGGCAGTGCCAGCCGGTGGTGTGGCTCGGCTTGCCCTGCAGGCACCGTGCTCAGCCATTGCTTGGGGATGCACAGATGGAGATGTGGGATGTGTGCTGTGCCTGGGGGACCTGGTGCCCACTGCCCAAGTGGGCACATCCCTCATGGGAGTGAGGGAGCTTTTTGGAAGTCGGCATGGCTCCAGCACCATTTCAGGAAGCAAGCATGGGGTAGAGGGAAAGGGTTCTTTTCTAGGTGTTTGCACATTTTTGAGCAGCGGGCAGGGCCCACGTGCTGTGCCCGTGGCGGAGCAGGGCAGGCTGGCACTGTGCCCATTCCCAATCCCTCCCGGGGTCAGTGGCGTGTCGCAGGGCAGCGTGGCGCCAATGCTGCTGCTGTCCAGACTGTGTGTCACCCTGTAGGTTGGTGGGCATCAGGGCTGGGGAGCCTCAGCTGGTACCCAGGTCCCCTCAGACCCTCCCCAGGGCCCTGCCTTTGGCCGGGGGCTGGCCCGTGGGTATCCCCATCACCCCTGCATCTGCTTCCCCCCAGCTGGGGGACAGAGCTGGTCGCATAGGTTTGGTGCAGGGGGCTGTGCCAGCCAGCTGCCTGCCCCCTCCCCAAACCCTGCTGCCCTGCACCTGCAGCCCTCCAGGATCCCCTTCTTCCCTGGGCAGGCATCTCTGCCCACAGTCCCCGTGGCAGAGGGCACCATCTGGCCACTGCTTCTATCCCAACCCCACAGTCCCGTGCCACCCAGTCCCCCCTGGGGTGCCAGGGCCCCCACCAGCCCCCAGCCCGCTCCCAGTGTACCTTCTGCAGCCTCCCTAGGCATGGCTCCCTCTGCCCTGCGCCCGGGCAGTGTGAGTGGGCAGTGAGGTGGTGCGGGGCCCCTGGGGGCTGGGCACTGGGTTGCCAGTGCGCCAACTGCGCCGCTTAAAATAGGACAGTGAGAAACACGGTTGGGGGGGGATAAAAATAGCTGTGGGGAGGGGGGCCCGGTGGCGTGGACAGGGCTGCCAGCAGCACAGTGCCAGTGTGGCAAAGGGACAGCAGGTTGTGGCAGTGCCCCATACCCCCTTTCCCAGGGTAAAGGGGCTGCCAGCTCACCAGGGGATCTGGGCAGAGTCCATGCAGGGAAACTGAGGCCCCACTGGACCCATCCAGAGCCAAACTGGAGTCTGTGCCATCTCTCAGTAGCAATGGCAATTGTGCCCAGCCTGGGGGCACCACAAAGCCCCCACACCCCAGCTTTGCCCACAAGGACCATGCCAGCTCTGCTAGGAGGATTTATTTAAGTTAATGAGACCGTTAAGAAGTGCCAGGGTAGGGGACCGTGGAGGTCCCCAGCCCAGGTCACCAGCCCCGCGTGCCCTGTGGCGGGCAGGTATCGGAGGGCGGGAGGTCCTTATGCCCATAAAGGCTGCGAGTGGGGGTGGGCACCAGGCAGGAGGCAGCAGGGCCAGGCCGGACCCGCTGCGCACAGCCCTCGCCCGCCCAGCCACGGTAGCAGTGGCAGCGGAAGGCAGCTGGCGGGCTGGCACCGGGGCCGAGGTGCAGGAGGCTGGCCAGGTCATGGGGCTGCCGGCGCACGCAGCGCCCGTGTCCGTGGCACTGCCTGTAGCTGCACTCTCGGGCCGCCGCCGTCACGTTGGCCACGTAGGGGCCCAGGGTGGACACGAGGTAGTGGCGCAGGCTGGCACAGCTCTCCTAGGGAGGAAGCACCAGTGAGAACCCACTCCAGAACCAAGGCCCTCTGGTCACCCCTCCCCAGTGGGCATCAGGGACGTGGCCATCCCGTATGTCCCATGCCACCTCCTGCTGCCCACCATGTGCCGGCTCCAGTGCAGTGCGGGGCCGTACTCACAGCTGAGCGGGAATAGGACATGTCTCCCCAGAGCACGAGTCCAGCTGCTCCCAGCGCTGCGCTCTCCCCGATGGTGTGCACCAGGTCAGCCTGGCAGGAACAGAGACATGACCAGGCTGGGGAGGCACAGGCTGTGTCCCTGTGCCACGCAGAACCCCCTGGCACACACACTACCAACTCCGGCCCCACAGCACTTACCAGCTCCAGGAACTGGGGTGAGCGGCGGAAGGAGAGGCGGGAATAGGCGATCACAGGCAGGAGGCCGTGGGCCCCAAAGGCGGCCACGCGCAGGGCCTCACGCAGCCGGTGGTGGACATAGCGGCGGCGCAGGGCAGGTGGCAGCGCCGGCGGCAGGTAGATGCTGGGGTAGAGGGCCGAAGAGGCGGCCCAGAGCCAGCCCAGCCGGTTGTTGCGCTGCACCTCTGCCAGCTGGCACTGCCCGGTGTAGTTGGCCTCCTTGGCCCAGTTTCCATTGAGGCAGTCAGGGAAGCGGTAGAAACCCCAAAGCCCTCTTGGGCGCAGGGTCTGGCCCAGCAGAAGTGTCTCTTCCATCAGAGCCTGTGCCGCCTGCTCAAACTCCTGCTGGGCCAGCCGGAGCCGCCGCCGTGCTGGCAGGGTGCCATGCTGGTCCTGCACCCACTGCTCCGAGGCTGCCCGGTATATCTTTTTGGTCCCCCAATTTTGGGCCCAGAGGGGCCTCCACTCCTCCCAGTCCACCACGGCCAAGCCATGGAAAGCAGGGCGCAGGAGAAGGCGGATGTCCTCAGCCACCCTGGCGAGGTGGGAGCCAAGGGAGACGCGTTGGGGGATGCCCCCATTGCGGGGGACACCCTGCCGTGACAGGTAGGGGTACAGCCCAAACTTGTTTTTGTAGAAGATGGTAATGTTCTGGCCCATGAAGCAGCCGTCCTGGTTCTCCACGATGCCATAGTCACTGAGAGGCAGCGCCACGCCGAAGCAGCACTGGCAGCGCCCAGTGGGGACGTTCCACACCACGGCAAAGGGCTGGCCGCCTGACAGGGGCTCAGGTGCTGGGCTCTCCCCACTGGTGGTGCCCAGTGCCAGGCACGCCCACAGCACCAGCACCAGCACCATCCCACCTCACTGGCTGCCTGCGGGGCCAGCACCCTGCAGGGAAAGGAAAGCAGTAAGGGTGAGGCTGCGGGGTACACCAGGCACCCCCGTGCTGGCACTGCCACCCTGGCATGCGGTGTGCTAGGATCAGCCACAGGTGCCAGGTGCCCCGCAGGCACGCGCTGCCCACCCAAAAACCCCACAGGACTTGGTAAACTTGGGGGTTTCAGACCCCTCCTGCCTCAGCACTGGCAGTCGGCACCTCTGCCTGCTGCACGCTGGGGTCAGCCCCTGCCTGCCACCAGCACAGCCATGGCACAGCTCTGGAGTGGCACTGCAAGCCACAGAACCCAGTGCTTCCATCTTCCTGCTGGCTCCCAATCCTGCCTGTACCATGACCCCTTCCTCCCCATTTCACCACAGCACCTCGCCCAGTTGGGTGCCCTACTGAGGAACCAAGCCCCACAAGAGGCGTGGTGGAGCCAAAGGTGCAGCTGGGTCCCTCACAGCCCAGGCAGAACCAGAGGGGACTGGTGCCCCTGCCCAGTGCTGGCCAGGTGCCTGGGACGAGGGGATTAGACAGCGGACGGGCCCAGGAGCCGCATGATGCAGCAAGGGCAGCGCTAATCCCCCGGCACGAGGCCGGACGCTCTCCCTGACCTTCCCGCTGCCATGCCTCTAGCTCTCACTGACGACGGCTGCCTCGGGGTGGGGGGGCTTGGCCACCTGCCCCCCTCACCACGCAGCTCAGGGACCCGACTCTGCAGCCCCACTGCCATGCCATACTCCCCCTGGTGCCCCTCCATCCATCGTGTGCCTTGGTTTACCCATGGTTGCTCAATGGCAAGAGCAGTGGCCACGCTGGAGACCACCACACACCATCAGCCCCAGCTGCCCTTCAGTGAATCCCCTGAGTGGAGGAGACACTGCTGGGACTGGGTGACATTCCTGGGATCAGTCCCAACCCCACAGCCTAGACTGGACCTGGCTCCCTGCCACACTGGTGGTCGCAGAGCCATGGCCAGGCGAGCCGGGAGCCAGGGTGCCCAGGCAGGGCAGGGTGTGAGGACCCACCCAGCAATGGGGCAAGAGTGAACCAGAGAGGCTGGGGGAGCTGGTGCCAGCCCTGAAGAATGGCAGGCAGTCAGGCAGCGCCACAGCAGGCAGCTCCTGCCTGCACTGCTTTTAATCACCGTCTTGGGGCCCCAGCCCCTCAGATGTCCTTCTTCATCCAGAAGATGGGGAGCCCTTTGGCGTCACGGTGGGGGGTTTTCAGGAGGCTCTGCTTGCTGTTCTCAGCCAGGACACCCCTCGCCCAGATCACAGTCGGTGGAGGGGGTGGTGGTGGGACAGTGAGGGGTGGGAGGGGAGGCGGGGGGGCAGAAGGTACCCTTGGCCTGATGGTGATGGCAGCACCAGGAGGGGCGGAGAAGAGCCGCAGCACCTCAGAGGATATGGCAGGGCTGAGGAAGGCCACGCTCTGCACCGGCTCACCCAGGACGTAGCCCAGGTGGGCATAGAAATGCTGCTTGTCGTGGGTGGTGAGGTGCAGGCAGCCAAACCCCTGGGCCCGGGCCCACCGCTCAGTGGCCTCCATCAGCCGCCGCCCGTAGCCCTGGCCCCGCAGCGCCCGGGCCACCACCACGCTCTCCACGTAGAGGTCACGGGGACGGCCGACCACGCGGGAGAGTCGGACATGGCCCACCAGCTGGCAGGGACCCTCCCGGGGGCCAGGGATCTCGGTGGGGCCCCGGCTCCGCAGCAGCAGCAGGCAGACAGGAAAGGCATCCGAGGAGCGCTGGAGCGTGTGGAGCCGTGACGCCCGGCTCTTCCCCCACTCCTCACGCAGCAGCTCGGCACAGGCTTCCAGCAGCTCCGGCCTCTGGTGCAGGGGGACCAAGCTGAGCTCCTCTGACACTGAGCCCATTCTTCTCACTGACAGGAAACCAAGCAGGCCACAGTTTAGAGGCAGTGGGGGACAGACCGTGTGTGTCCCCCCCAGCCCAGCACTGGCCCCAGTGCGGGCACAGTTCCCCAGCAGTGCAGACAGATGAGTTCATAGGGATTAGCGGCGGGTCCAAGGTCAAACAACAGTGGCAGGGAAGTGGTACGTGGTGCCAGCTCCAGAAATCTGTGCCTTGAGACTTGCAGGCAGGTCTGGCACTGCCAAACCAGCAGAGGGGCAGGAGGCACAGTACTGGCCTTGCCCCCTTCCCAGCTCTGCCACTAGCTCCTGCCACCTGGGCACCTGTCAGACCAGCCAGCTCATTACATGTGTCCCCAGCATGGGGGTTCCAGGGGGCCCTGACAGCCTCTGAGGGGTCAGAAAACCCCTACCACAACCACTATGTGGTGGGGATCCCTCTCCCAGCCTGGTGGCTGTTCCCATTGCGAAGGAGAAGCCGCAGGCAGAAGGGAGGAGCAACCGCCACACCAGTTTATAAAATGGGGTTGAGCAAACTGCTCCACTTCCCCTCTGGGGGGTGGGGAGAGCTTGGGCTCGCCCTCCCACACCCTCAGGGTGCCCCCCCCAGTAACCTCCCTAGCTCCAAGATCCCTGACTCCCAGCTCAGTCTGCAATGACCCCTTCAGAGGCCAGACAGCACCCCATACCCCACTGGCACCCTGGGTGGGTGATGGTTTTCTTTTATCCACCCAGCAAACCCACACCAGGACCCCAACAGCACCTGCCTGCCACTCACTCTGCCTGCACCCACCTTCCCTGTGCTTACCCTGCTCGCTCTCCCCCTGCTCACTCTCACCCTGTTCACTCTCCCCCTGCTCACACTCACCCTGCCCACACTTAACCTGCCCACACTCACCCTGCCCACACTCACCCTGCCCACACTCACCCTGCTCACACTCACCCTGCCCGCTCTGCCGGCTCCTGCGCCCTCGGTGCCTGCGCAGCAGCACGGCAGGAAGCAGCCCAAGCTCATGACCAACCACAGAGCCTGGTTCTGCTTCCCTGGTGTGAATGACACGTCTGTCCAGGGCCCCGCGGCACCCCCACTTCCCCACCCTGGACCCTGACACAGGACACCCATCCTGCCTGCACCCCCCATTGCTCCAAACCACCCGGCACCCACACATGGCGCACAAATAGAAACGGCTTCACCCAGCTGATCGCTGCCCCCACCTCATGGCTGCACCTCCTGAACACACGGTACCACCCCACCACTGACCACCATCGCTGACCATCACTGACCCACCACTGATCCATCGCTGACCCCAGCACTGACCTCATCTCTGACTCATCACTGACCCCATCACCCAGCACTGACCCACTACTGACCCATTACTGACCCCATTATTGTCCCACCACTGGCCCATCATTGATCCCACCACTGACCCCACCACTGACCCATCACTGGTCTCATCACAGACCCCAGCACTGACCCACCACAAGCCCATCACTGCCCCGTCACTGCCCCGCCCCCGGACCCCTGCCCCGTCCCGTTCCCCCTCCCCGCCGTGCCCCGGTCCCGCCCGGTCCCGCCCGTACCGCTCTCCGGCCCCGCCGCCGCCGTCACTTCCCGCGCCCCGCCCGCCCCGCCCCGCCCCGCGCGCCCCCGGGCGGCCGGAGGACGCACCGCCCGTGCCCCGATCCCGCTCCCGAATTCCCCGCACCCGCTCACCCAGCCTTGGCCGTGGCAGAGCAGAGCTGCCTGAGGTCCTCCTTCCCCCCTCCCCAAGGAGTCGGACACCGTGCGGGAGCTCTCCATCCGCCTTTTCCGAGTGGTGATGGGCCTTATGGCTGAGATGAAGCTGATGAAAAAGGAGGTGCAGGACGGCCCTGCACTGCTGCTGCTCCTTCACCTGCACGACCAGGACAAGAGCGTGGCCAAGGTGGGATTCCTCACCTGGCCGGTCCTTTGGGTAGTGCAGTGCTGGCACTGGACCCTTCAGATGTGTCTCCCTGAGGTCCAGCTTGCTGAATCCACAGGCAGAGCCCCCCTCCCTGCCCACTGGTGCCTTTCTGCTCCTGCTGCCTGGATGGATGGGGTGGTGAGTCCCTTGCCCACCCATCTGCCTCCACACCGCCCCTGACATGGGTTCCTGCAGCCTCAGCCTGGACAACAGCTCTGCAGCATCCTGGGGCCACCAAGACCAAAACTTTGTAGCCCTGACAGGCTTCCAGCCAGAGAGATTGGTTCCCCTTGTATGTCCTGGGCTGCTGAGCCTGGGAATAGCATCACTCCCCAGCTGGTGCATCTACCTGCATGGGCTGGGACAGGCTCTGAGCACTGCCACTGTGTCCCTGATGGTGGTGGTGGTGGCATCTTTGCCGCTCAGCAAGCTTCTCCAGCGAGGACTCTGCTGGGGCACAAGGAAGCAGCAGTCTGAGCCCTAGGATGCTCTGCAGGTTGAGGTATCTGCTCTTCCCGAAATCTGACAGGAAAGAAGAGACCTCAGCCAGAATCCTCCAAAGAGCAGCTGGACAGCTGCTCCCTCCCTAAGCCTGTCGCCTTACAGAGACCAGTGCAGGGCATTCCCGCTGTCCTTCCCTGCCTCCACTAGTGCCAAGGGGAAAATAAATTGATTGTGCAAAATAAAGTTTATGCCCCAAAACAGATTTTAGCTCTTTAGAGCATCACGTGTCCCAGACAGAGAGGCACTACCCCGGCACAGCCAAGGAAGGGTCCCTGAGACCCCCTGAAGAAAATGGGATGGGACCAGAGGCCGTGTCCCCCTGGCTGAGGGTCCCTAAGGGGCAGAAGGTGACCATGATTTGGGAAGCAGCCACCCATACTCTGTCACTGCCATCGCGACTCTGGGTCTGGGGGCCACCAGCTGCGACGGGTGCTGCGGGGCAGGGCCCGAGGAGTCATGGGGGGCAGAGGAGGGAGGGCTGGGGGTGTGACAACCGGGCTCGGGGTGCGGGTCCCCGACACGCGCAGCAGGGCTTATCTCGGCATGGGCGGGGCTAAGAGGTGAGGGGCGTGGCCTATCTCAGAGGGGGCGGGGCGTCACACCTGAGTGACAGCACCGCCTCCGCCCGGGCGAGGGGGCGGGGCGGTGATTCCCAGACAAGGAGGGCCAATGGAAGGCGGGGCCAGGCGTCCTGCAGCCAATGGGCTCTGCCGAGGGCGGGGCCCGGTGCCGGCGGGCGGCAGGCGGCCCCACGTGTCCCGGCAGCATGGCGGCGGCGGTGGCGGCGGCGAGCGGCAGGAGGGCCAAGGCCCCGCGCGGGGCTGCGGGACGGCGGCGGCCGCGCCCGGCGGTGAGGGACGGCACGGGGAAGGAGGGAGGGAGGAGGGCGGCGAGGAGCGGCTGCCCCGGCGGGGTGGCCGCCGTAGCGCGTTTCGCCGCGCCCCTTCCCGTGTTGACCCGCCCGGTTCCGCAGGTCCCGAACGCCCAGGGGAGACCGCGGGCGGCGGCCGGCCGGCCCGCCGACGAGGAGGTGTCCAGCGACTCCGAGACGGAGAGGTAAGGGTTGCGCCAGGGAGGTGCCGGTAGCGGAGTGGGTGCCGGGAGGGGGTCGGTGCCGGTACCGGGAGGATGTCGGTGGCGGGGGGATGCTCACGCACACGTGTCCCCGCAGCCTGTCGTTGGGGCGGCGGCGGCGAGAGGCGGCGGCGGCGGAGGAGGAGGTGGAGGAGACGCCGCAGGAGAAGAAGCTGCGCCTGGCCAAGCAGTACCTGGAGGAGCTCCGCCAGCTCGGTGAGTCCCGCCCGGCCCCGGTGCCCCGGCGGGGCGGCCCGGGAGCTGGGCCCGGCTCTCACGCGTTGTCCCGCTGCAGAGGAGGAGCGGGCGGAGGAGGAGGAGGAGGAAACCCAGCCGGCGGATCTCATCGGCGACCGACTGAAGGAGGACGTGGTGAGCGGGGGGGCGGGCGCGGCCCCACGGTCCCGGTGGTGGGCTCTGTGCCCCTCCCGCGGGACCAGGGCTGGGGCCGCCTGCGCTGAGCCTCCCACTTTCTCCCCCAGCTCGAGCAGAAAGGCCGGCTGCAGCGCTTGGTCGCCAAAGATGTAAGTGCCCGGTGCCAGACCATAAATTCCAGCTTTATGGGACACTCGGGCATGGCCAGCACCCCACGGCCCTTCTCCCGCCCACGATGCCATGCTGGGGTACTCCCAAGCCTGGGGAAGGGGCCGGGGCAGCCCAGCTCACATCCCACTCTCCCTGCAGGTGCAGCCTCCGGATCCAGCCAGCATCCGTGTGCTGCGGGGACACCAGCTGCCTGTCACCTGCCTGGTCATCTCTCCCGATGACAGATTCATCTTTTCTGCTTCCAAGGACGGCTCCCTCATCAAATGCAAGTGTTCACCTGAGGCTGCAACTGGCTGTTCCGCAGGGGACCCCGCAGCATCAGGGCTGTGGGTGCCTGTGGTGGTGACTTAGCCCTTGGCTGCTCTGGGAATGTGCATTGTTTTGGGATCTGTGGGAGGCTCGTTGGCACTTTTGGGAATGGTTTTGGGCTTTGTGGGAGGCTCATTAGCACTTTTGGGAGTGGTGGGAGGCTCCCAGAGGGTGATGATGGCCGTACCTTTCCCACAGGGGAGGTGGACAGCGGGAAGAGGCTGTGCGTGGTGCCCGGGGGGAAGAAGGGCACGGAAGAGCGGCACATGGGACACGCGTCCCACATCCTCTGCATGGCCATCTCATCGGATGGCAAGTACCTGGTACGGGGACAGGGGACAGAGACGTAGCCATGGGGACTGCATCTCCTCCCAGGGTCCTGGGGGTTGTGTTTCATGCCCAAATGTGCCTTGCCTGGTTAAAGCAGCCCCTATCCGCTACAGATTTAAGGATGAGTCCCTGGGATCACCCGAAAGCATATGGGGTGGGAATGGAGACTGGCATGGGAGTGGAGGATGGGGTGGGCTGTGGGTCTCTGAGAGACAGGTCTTGGGCATCCCCTGCTGTTTGCCAGGCCACAGGAGACAGGAACAAGTTGATCATGATCTGGGACACAGCCACCTGCAAGCGCCTGCACATCTTCACAGGGCACCGTGACGCTGTCTCGGTGAGTCAGGGGCATCAGGCTGTGGTGCCTGTGGGGCTGGACAGCCCCATCCTCCCTGGTGCCCCTCCCTCACTGCTGTACATTGTCCATCCGTCTGTCTGCAGGGCCTGTCCTTCCGCAAGGGGACACACCAGCTGTACAGCGCTTCCCATGACCGCTGCGTTAAAGTCTGGAATGTGGCAGAGAACGCCTATGTGGAGACCCTGTAAGGCCAGGGGGGATCCCACTGCCCTGCCAAAGGGTGTGCCAGCATCCTTCGGGGAGGCAAGGTGAGGGGGCAGAGGGCCATGCATGCCACATCTCTTTGCCACCTCTTCCTCCAGGTTCGGGCACCAGGATGTCATCACGGGGCTGGACAGCCTGAGCCGGGAGTGCTGTGTGACGGCGGGGGGACGGGATGGCACCGTGCGGCTCTGGAAGATCCCTGAGGAGACACAGCTCGTGTTTTCTGGGCACCAGTAGGTCTGGGGTGGGAGAGGAGGCTGTGGGCAGGCATGCCCAGCTGGGGCAGTGGTATGTGGCTGCCAAGCATCTCGGGGAGCACCCTGGGGATGCTGATACCCTGGTGAGCCCATGTCTCCTGAACAGGATCCCAAAGCACACTTGTAACTGCTGACAGTTGCCCCCTCTCTTCACAGGGGCTCCATCGACTGTATTCAGCTCATCAATGAGGAGCACATGGTGTCTGGCGCCGATGACGGGTGAGCACAGGGCTGGGGCAGTGCCGGGGGTGGGCAGGGTGCCCCCTCAGCCCCTCTCACCCCTCACGTCCCCATCAGGTCTTTAGCCCTCTGGGGGCTGACGAAGAAGAAGCCTCTGGCGCTGGCTCGGCAGGCGCACGGCGCGCAGGATGCCCAGGGCCTGGAGCAGCCCTACTGGATCTCAGCGGTGGCCGCCCTGCGCAACAGTGACCTCCTGGCTACAGGTGTGTGGCAGCTGCTTTGAGGGTGTGGGGGAGGTCCTCCTCCCATCCCTGGGTTGGGGTGCGTGACAATCTCTCTCTGCCCCAGGATCCCACAGCGCCAGTGTGAAGCTCTGGAAGTGTGGTGAGGGATTTCGGAAGCTGGAGCACCTCTGGGACATCCCCTTGGTATGGATGGATGGGCAGGTTGGGAATGCTAGCGCTGGGCTGGAGGGTCTCACTGCGGGGGCTCCCCTCCCTGGACAGCAGGAGGAGGCTATGGGATCCCCTTAACCTGCCCTGTCCCTTCACCCTTCCCTGTTCCCTCCAGGTGGGTTTTGTCAACAGCCTCAAGTTCTCATCATCTGGTGACTTCCTGGTGGCTGGCATCGGGCAGGAGCACCGGTACTGACCCTCCTCCCTGGCGCTGCCTGGGGGTGCAGCCCCCTTTCCTCTGGTGCTTGCTGGAGTGTGACCCTCATCTCTCTCATCCGCAGGCTTGGACGGTGGTGGAGAATCAAAGAAGCCAAAAACAGCATCTGCATCATCCCCCTTAAACAGAGAGCCACGGCCTCTGGCCCTGAATCTCCTGGCAGCTCCTAGCCCCCCGGTCATGAAGCAGGTCATTCTGACCCTGGAGCTGCACCTTGATGCATCCTTGGTGCAGCCACCCCCCTGGGGCTGGCAGGATGTGAGTAGGGGGTGTCACACAGCCTTGCTGGCCCCCGTGTTGTGACCTGGCTCTGCCCTCTGCGAGGGTCTGTCCCCTTCCCTCAGGTTCGGCTGGACCTGAGCTCTGGAACAGTCCATTTTGTAAAAAAAAAAACCACCAAAACGACTTTATTTACATAAATTACAAAAAAAAAAATCACACTCTTGCTCACAGAAAAAAATCTACTCTTAAAAACATGGTTGGGCTCAAATACCTGGATCCTGTTACTCGCCCTGAGCCTCCAACGGCCCCCCTGGGATCTGCCGGGGCTGGGGGCCAGCGGGAATTCATCCGCCCCTGCTCCCGCCCCGTCTCCCATAAAGGGGTGAGAAGTGCCACGCACAGGGAGGGGAGCGATGGGGGGCTTGGGCCCAGCCCGGCCACGCTCAGCAGCTCTGCTGGGGCCAAACCAGGAGGAAAAGTGAAACTGCGAAGCGCCAGGAAAAGCGTGACATGGAGCACGGCTTGGCACAGGGTGACAGGGAAAGCATGGTGGGCAGTATGTGCCAGCATGGAGCTCGGCGTGGAGGGAGCAGGAGGTGCGGCGTGGATTGGCACAAGAAGAGCGGGAGTTGGAATGTGGTTTGCGAGAGGGAGTTACGTTGTGCACCAGGGCTCAGTGCAAGGGACAGGAAGGGGGTATTTGTGCCACAGGCGGTGTAGGGAACGGGGGATACACACCACAGCTCGGTGCAAGGTCCGTGCAATGTGCACTACGGCTCAGTGCAAGGGACAGAGGGACATTCACCATGGCTCAGTGCAGGGGGCTGGGGGTGCACAATGGCTCAGTGCAGGTGACGCAGAGGAACATGCGCCGTGGCTCAGTGCAGGGGTTGGGGATGTTCACCACGGCTCAGTGCAGGGGTTGGGGATGTTCACCATGGCTCAGTGCAGGGTGCAGAGGACATGTAACGTGGCTCGGTGCAAGGGAAGGGTGACACGTACTGCGACCCGACACGTGGGATGTGTAGCTCGTGCTGGGGCAGGGGCTGAGCCTCCCGGCTGCATTCGGCACCCGGTCGGGCCATGCTGTGGGCACTGCTCTCCCTGGGGAGGTGCCGTGTGGCAGCACCACAGCCTGGCCCCCCCATCCTTCACAAGGACGACGTCGTGGAGTCCACCACCTCGCGACCATTGCACACCGTGGGCACGTACTGCGAGGCTGAGCCTGGCCAGGAAGGCAGCAGTCAGGGGCGAATTGGGGTCTGGCAGCAGCACCTCACAGCACCCCATTTCATTGGGCTATGGATACCCAATGTGACCATTTCACCCCCTGGCTGATGAAAGGTGCCCAGGGGTGGCCATAGCCCCTGGGGGTGGAGTGGAGGGTTCCTGGGATGGTGACAGGCACTTGGGGCAGCCGAATCCCCTGGGTTGGGGTGGAGGGTGTCTGGAGTGGCTATGTCCCCCTGGGGCTGGGGCGGAGAGTGCCGGGGGATGGCCATGTCCCTCAGAGCAATGACATGCCCCCAGGAGCAGTACCCCTCTGGCAGCTGTGCTGTCCTGGGAGATGAGGCACTGGGACAGGGGACAGGGAAGAGCTGCTGAGGACACAGCATCCTCCATCCTCCCCACTTCCCATCAGGCCCTACCCCACCCCTGACTTTCCTTCAGGAGCCCTTCAGGGTACTCCCACACACCCCCCCACCAGGAAGGGGGTGCTGCCCCCCCAGCCCTTCCCCAGCCCCACTGTGCTCACCTTGGGACTGGCTGGAGCTGGCAGCTGCCACGCTGAACCGAGCAGTGCCCACGCGGTGACTGGCCACATTCTTCTGTGGTTGGAAGAGTATGATGTGGAGCTTGGGGGTGAAGAGGCAGCCGAGGACCACGGTGCCGCTGAGGCTCACCGAGATGCACATGGTGGTGGTCTGGACCTGGAGAGAGGGTGGGGGGCATCAGGTGCTCCACCCACGAGCCGTCTGCCCCAAGGAGGGCAGGATGAAGCCCCAGTGGCACTGGCCAGCCCCACTGGGCACGGACTCCACCCTGCAGGGACATCCCACCCCATACCACACCACATCCCTCTGTCAGACCCATGGGCAGAAGATGCAGAATGCCCTTATGGGATCATGTCACCCCTGCAAAGCAGGTACACCCTGAGCAGCATCCCAGCCCTGCCAACATGCTGCTTTGGTACAGTGCCTGGGGGTAGACCCCAGAACCCCCCACCCCAGTGCCCACTCCCTCTGGAGGATGCAGATCCTTTCTGGAAGCCAATGACTGCAGCTGCCCCTACTGAGTCCTCAAGGCCTGTCAGAAACATGTTTGGTTGCCCTGCCAGGGAGCCTGAGGTGCTGCAGGGTGCATCCCGTGCTCTCTAGTCCTTGGCATTGCCCAGCTCCCCAGGGACCATGCTGGCCCTGGGGTTGGCCTTCATGCCCTGGGGTGAGACATCTGGATGAGCCAGTGACTCATGCTTTCATGTCACAAGGCTGAAGGATGACACATCACTCCTCCATGATCGGGCTGAGAGGGTCTCTGGAGGTCTCAGGGCCATTTTCCATCCTCACCCTAGCAAGGCAGAAGGGAGTGGGTCCTCTCTTCAGGACTCATTGCCCCCTCAGCCACAGCCTTTCAAGATCTTTCACCTGGTCCTGAACGCCCCAGTGCAGAGGTGACCATCAGTGCAGAGGTGTATGGATGAAGACCCTTCCCCAGGACCACAAATCTCCAAATCACAAACCCCACAGGGCCCAAATCTCCACGACCACTTAGAAGAAGCCCTATTAGAGCCCCCCCAAAGCACCAGGCTCTTACACGGTAGTCGCTGGAGGTCACGTAGAAGATGGGCAGGAAGGCCAGCCAGATGATGCAGGTCGTGTACATGGTGAACCCAATGAACTTGGCCTCGTTGAAGTTTTCAGGGCATTTCCGTGTCTTGAAGGCATAGACCGTGCAGAGGACAATCAAGAGGACATTGTAGGTGAGCGAAATGAGCATGTTGGAGTCGCGGTTGTTGCACTTGAGGGTGACGATGTACCTCTTGTCAGGCTCAGTCTCCTTGCCTGTGCCAGGGGTCTCCACCAGCAGCCAGATGATGACGATGATGAGCTGGCAAGAGATGAGGGCCATGCAGATGACCACCTGTGATGTGGGGCTTATGAACCGGGGGCGTTGGACCCCCTCCTTCACCCCGCTGAAGATCCTGGCGATGCGGTTCGTTTTGGTCAGGAGGGCCGAGTAGCAGACGGCGAAGGACGTGCCCAGCCCCAGGCGCCGGAGCGCGCACACCCCGGTGGAGGGCTTCGCGATGAAGATGAAGGTCATGCTGTAGCACATGAGGACCCCGGTCAGGAGGATGTAACACAGCTCCCGGCCGGAGGCCTTCACAATGGGGGTGTCGTTATTCTTCACGAAGACTCCAATAACAAAGAGTGTAGAGATAAAGCCCAGACAAGAGATGGTGACGGGACCAATGGCCCAGACATCTTTCCAGCGGATGTACTCTTGGGGCAGCTCGTAGCAGCCATTCAGGGTCTCGTTGGGCCAGTAACCAAGACCACAGTCCATGCAGGTGAACTCATCCAGCAAGTACTCGTAGGGTTGGCAGGGGATGCAGATCCAGCAGCAAATATCTCCGGGCTGCATGCTCTTGATCTCATTCTTTTTGCAGGGGTCACTGCACTGGGACACAGGGATGGAGGCCTCAGCCCACGGGATTAGGCTGGTGTCAAGGATGAGTCCCTCTGCCCAGTAGCCCACTTTCTGGTACCGATACCGCCCGTCCACGTGGTGATAGTTGAAGATGTTGTAGCGCCCGATCCCATCACCATAGGGGTCAAATCGAACAACACTCTCTGTGTCTGCTGGTCTGAATGGAGCTGGAGGGAGGACAAGGGGAGATTGTCACTGCCATGGGGCAGGAGAACACTTGCTCCCAGCCTGGAGGCAGGGCTCCTTCAAAGGGTCCCATCCCCACCATGGCCACAGTTTAATGTCCAATCTGTTTCTTGCCTTCAGTCCCATCTTTGCTGCCTGTGTACACATTAGGAGCAGGAAAGCAAAGGTGGAGAACTACCTCCCCACCTGCCTGAGAGCCAATCAGCCCCAGCCAGCTTTGCAGGGGCAAGGAGGGGAATTGTGCACCCTGCATGGCGCTCAGTGACACCTGAATAGCCAGGCTCCACCCAAGTCATAGAGGACATGTTTCTAATTCACTCCAAACTATGTGAGTCCCTGATCAAGGGTATCCCTTCAGTTTAATCCCTGAAATGTGAATAAGTCACAACACTTGGAAGCGAATGCTCCAAGGAAGGGTTCCTTGTGGAGCGAGTCCCATCCAGCTGTAGCAGGATGGAATTGTTCACCAGCTTCTCCACATATGTCTCCACTGGGGACACAAGGCCCAAGGATGATGGTGGGCTGTTGGCACCCTGGGACAACCACAGCCCATGGCACACAGGTCCCTGGGTTGGGCAGGCTGGAGGAATTGGAGGGTCTTGGGTCAAATTTGGTCTCCATCTTTCCTGTCCCACCACCCATCTCTTTCCACTTTGGCAGCCAAACCCCATCTCCACCTTGGACTCACCGTCAAAATTAACATTGAGAATAAAGTCCTTGTAGAACCTCTTGCCATTGACGGGCTTCATGGCATCACAGAGCTTGGTGTCATCGGGGCACAGTGCCCGGTGCATGTTGTGGAGAGAGTGAGCCATGGCATAGACAGCATTGACCACAAACGTGATCTTGGACTCCGGCTCAAACTTGCCTGCCTTGAGGGAATACCGGCTACAGTCCTGTGTGTGGAAGCTGCACTTAAACCTCTGTTCCCAAAACTCCCGAAACCAGGGATTTCGGCTGTTATTGTAGGGATGGAGGTTAAGGAAATAGTCAGCAAACTCCTTAATGGGGTAGGCTGCCAACTCGATGGTGATGGCTCCCTCTGCCACTGCTTCGCTCCCGGCCACTACGCTCTCCAGGGCTCCCCACCCGTCACTGGCCACCCACATGAAGGACACATTGGCTCTCTGGGCAGCTGCCAGCAGCTCCCGGGCGTCTTCACTGCGAGTGAAGAGCACGACCACTCTGGCATTGGGCTTCTGCAGCAGAGCCCGGACCACCCCGTCGTAGGTCTTCTTGTTCATGGAGCGCCCCACCTTCTCCGAGGTAGCGATGCAGATGTTTCGCATGCGGGCTTCTTGCTC